CCGGTAACTGATCGGCCATGATGAGATCGTGATAGAGGTTCGCATCCACATATGTGGTGAGATGACCCGTTTGCCTCGAGGTACCGGTGCGTTGTGCGGCTGAACTTCTTTGGCACCATGGTGGCATGAGTATTCCCATTCGTACTCTTTCTTGGAATCGCTGAGTAATCGGTTCCTCCTTTCGGATACGTATGATGCCGTGTCGCATCTTGGAAAGGTACCCGCAGATTCTCTTGACTCGCTCTAAGTGACCCATTCTTGGTGCTGCCGAAATCTGGACATCGTCATGGTGGCCGTTGCGATATCGAACCTTCCAATTTGGATTGCCCACTGTAGACTACCGATGAGTGACTGATATATCTTTTGTGTGTCCATATCGAGTAGCTCTGTTGTGTCAGTCTCTTGGGTGGTCTCCTTTGATGAGTGGAGATGAGACTTGTTTGGGCATGTGTCCGAAGATTCGTTGATAGTTGCTGAGTACCTTCTCAATATATTTGCGAGGTGCGTAACTCAGTACTCCGTTCTCATCACGGAAGAATCACATCCTAGGTGGAAGCTGATGGCACCGGTTCCCTTTAGTTTGAACTTGTGCTCCCCTTCCAATGTCGCATATGATCTTGGATGCGTCTTTGCTGACAATAAGGAGGTGCGTCTACATACACAGCGATGTATTGTAGTAGCTCCTTTGTCTCTCATCCAGATGTTGATTCGGCTTTCGAAGGAAGAATCCCATTGAACGAAGAAAATCTGCAAATCGTTACATGCCATCGTAACCCAGAAACTTGAGTCCGTATAGGGCACGGCTGATGATGAGGTGCATCCTTCTCGTCCTCCAAATTCGGGTCCTGCGACAACGTATACCTTCTCTTTCGTATATGATTCCAAGTAGGCGTTTCCAGTGTAGGAAAGTCCTACACCTAGCGAACAAGACTCCCATCGACTGTTCAGCAAGCTACAGTCAACAGTCGAGACCGCAACGTTCGGATCTGAGTATGTTGCAGCCCGTACCGCCACTGAACAGATCATTGACCTACGGAGCACGTTCAGGTACCTAGGAGTACTGGTCGACACACCGACCATGATGTTCGGAGACAACGAGACGGTAGTCAACACCGCTCGATGCCACACTCAAAGATTCTCAAAAGACACAATGCGCTTTCCTACCACGTACTAGGGAAGCCGTTGCTGCAAGTATCTTGAGATTTCATCATATCCTGGATCTACTAACCTGCAGATATCCTCAGCAAACACTGGAGACTATACATCGGTATGGGCTATGCTGAATGCACTCTGTTTTGGTCAGGAGATACCAAGGATTGCGTAAGAAACACTCAGAGTCGACAGTCGCCACTGAGGGAGTGAAAGCGTTACAGTTCCTCCCACGACTCAGGTATCCGTGAGTAGATTGGGTCATGTTTTATGAGTCAACACGATGGAACAGAGAACGCTGGCAAGAACACGTTCTCAACGAAACCAAAGGACACGGTAAATTGGAGTATTCGACAGGAGTAAAGCATCCTGCCAACGAACCGTTTCCCGCAAATACCACGTTGACTTCCGTATCAACTACCACGATGTATTGATCTAACACGCTACAACTAGCGTTACTGATCGCATCAATCAAAGCTCACAACACAGATTATGAATTACTAAGAAGCGAACTTTGCATTTTCCTTGCACTCGTCTTGAATAGTTGCAGTTGATCTCGTCGGGTGGTAGCTACCTCTACAAGATCCCTCTATTCAAGTAGTATTTCCCCACGTTAGCAGTCCATGTAACGTCGTTAGCTGGCATGTTGCTATCGGTCCGTTTTACACCATGGTCATTGTCAGAAAATGAATAAAGGCCACGCTGAGCCAAATAGTTGCTTCTGGTGAATCGCGAGTGTCACTAAATCAGTCCCAGGGTGTCCGTTGACAGAGTCTCACTTTTTCACTTGGTCTCTGGCTCGCTCAGAGACTTATTCAGGAAACATCAAGAAACGAGTAAAGATATAACGGACCGCGACTCCTTACTTAGAGCCAAGAATCGCAACTGTCGTCTAATTCGCCCCCAAACACCCAATTCCAACAACAACAAGACAAAAACATCGCGACCATGGTGAAATCCTATGAACGACAGTCAACAACAATAACACTTCATCTATTACTGCTATTACTACTATTACTACTATCTCTTAGGACCTCCTGCGGTCGTCGGGATGGGTCGCGACGCCATGGGAAAAGTCGTGATTTTGTTGTTGTTCTTATTCTTGTTGGTTTCCCCCTCCTCTTCCCCTCTTTGTTACTAGGCCGCTGCGCGGCCCCCTCCTCCTCTCCCCCGGGACGATACTTCGCGCTTCGCGCGATACCTGCCTGTTTCTTTCTCTTGGAGAACCCAGGGAAATATACGATTTAAGGGACGATCACTAGGCTTAAGGGACGAATCAATGGACGATTTAAGGGACGATTTGGATTGACGACTCAGCCACGACTAACATTTCTCCGCATTCCAGACGCGCCACAATTTCTTTTTTCGAGGAATGTAGGTTTGGTTCAGTGAGGCAGAAGAAGGTCTGAGAGGAAGGCAGTCAGCATAGAACTCACAACCTGCGTTCCAAACCTGAACTACTCGGCACCATCGCCACAGTCATAAAAGCAAGGAATCAGAAGACAAAACCATGTGCAACAACAAGGGCAAAGCCAACACAGGCAACGAAGAAGTTGGGGGGGTGGTTTACACGGAAGGTGTTGTTGGGAAGAACTGTGACAATCGTCGAATGTTTGTGCGATTTGTTGTTATTGGTGTTGTTGGTGTGATTATCCTTGTGGCGATTGCATTGGCAGTGACGCTGCTACAACTGAGGTCTGGCGGAGATAAAGAATCGTCATCGGCCCCGCTGAAATCCGAAAGTATCTTGCCCGACATTCCAACTACGCCCAACACCGCTGCTCCTGATGGAATCAACGTCGATCGTCCCGGGAACGATGTGGATCAGCCATCATTGAACAGTGTGGATCAGCCAACAGTTGATCCCGAAAATATCCTGCCTGACATTCCAACGATGCCCAACATCGACTACCTTTTCAAAGGATACGATGTGATGCTGGGAAATCCATTGGGACAAACAGATGGAGGATTCCAGCTTCCTATCTTTGATGCGACGTACCGTAGCGTGCAGAAAACTGATGATCTGCGCTACTTGATCCCTGACAAGGTTTCAACAATACCATCTTGTGAAGCTTGTGACATGGTGTTCACGTCAACGGTGATTGAAAGCTCGGAAGAGTACATTGATAGCTTGATGGCAAAAGTCGACGTGGCTGCAAGCGGAAGATACGCTGGATTCAAGGGTTCCTTTTCGGCATCCGTTGGGTATGAATTGGCATCCGAGCGCATCAATGAACTTCAACAGATTTCAACACAATCGGAAGCTTCTTGTTGTGCCTACATCGCCGAAGTGCAGACATTTGATCCTCCAGCCTTCCACGAAAACTTTCTTGCTGCGTTGGATACCCTGACGGACGAGTATGATCAGAATATCTACTGGAACTTTGTGTACGAGTTTGGAACCCATTACGTCAAGCAGGTAACCATGGGAGCGTTGTTTGGGGAAGAGTCGTTCTTGACTTGGGAAAACCGAAGAACATTGGAGAGCGACGGAATCAGTCTAGAGGTTGGAGCAGCGGCATCAGGATGGGGAATAGCGGTTTCCGTCGATGCCGAATACGATCAGAGGAAACAAGAGCGCACCTCTTTTCAATCCAACACCCAATCGCGCAAAACCTATACAAGGGGGTCTCTCCCCCCTACAGATGGTGACACGGCGACGTGGGCTGCAGCCACCAGGGACAATCCTGCTCCTATAAACATTGAGCTAGCAAGAATCGACTTTTTGTCCCACCTTCCAGTGACTGACGATGTCAAGGCCAACCTGGGGAAGTTTCTTGATGAGTACTGCACGATTGGCACTTGTGATCCACCCCCCAGACCTCAGATTCCCAACGCACCAACACCAGCTCCGGTGGTTCCGACACCAGCACCCACTTCGGTTCTGTCAAGCAACAGATTCTGTAGGTTTCAGTCCCAGCCAATCAATCCGTATGAGATTGAATACAGCAAAGAGTGGACGTGCGACAATGTCAAATTCGCCGGACCGGTTGGTTTTAGGTGGCATGTAAACGAAGACAACAGTGATGAGTATCGAGTGGAGGTGAACGAAGTGGGTTACAAAAGCAGTGAAAGATGGGCAACATATTCCCACAGCGAGTTGCTGACAGGGAGCGTTCAAACCAGATACACTATCAAGCTCTCGTGTATGAATGAAAGCCAATGGTGCTACATCCCAACATTTTTTTACACTTTGGTTGACTGTGGTTGCCCCGATGGCTGGCGTAAAGTTGAAGACTGCAGATACGGTGACGTCGAAAGCGCAAAGAGTGCTCGCTGTGTCAAGTAATTAAACATAACATAAGAAGAAGTCTTTGTCTTCATTCCTTGTTAAACGATTTTGACTGGCTTCCGTACCGGTAGATAACTTCCCTACTAGTACAGCTGTACTCTAAACCCACCGTTGGCAATATCACGTCCCCATGGGCGTGTGGGCGTGTGGGCGTAATTCATGTAGTTTTTGCAACAACGACATTAACTCTCTGAAAGAATACCGGTAGTGAGAGATTATTCGAATCAAATACTCCAACAAGGCTCCAATCTGACCAATCAGCTTTCTTCAAACTCCATTACTGCGTCACACACGCACCCAAGATACCTTTTTGAGCAGAATTTCGAAGGCCATGTTCTGAAAGCCAAGTTCCCCTGCGAACGAAAGCATTTTAGTTGCCACTGCGTCGACTTTCTTTCTTCTTCTCTCACCCTTTGTTGTCATTGAAAAAAGGACAAGGTATCTTGCGTCCTCTATTGTTGCAACCTTTCAAAATTCGCCAATTGCCATTGTTTCGATCAACTACTAGCTAGCGCCATCAAGGTCCATCCTACCTATTATCCATTCCCTTCTACAATTTTCAAGTTGCCATTATTTTTTGGAGTTCGCGTTTCATTGTTGCAACAATGATGAGTTCTGTTCTGTTGAAGTCGCTGGCGAAAAGACCATTGAGCATCCCTAGCGCCAAGGGTAGCTTTCCAGCTGCTGCCGTATCATCCTCCCTGGATAACACTATCCAAAAATACTGTCACTACCACACGGACACCAATTCACAGTCCTCTGATGATCGCATCTTTCCCGTCTACGTTCATCACGTTTCAAAAGTTGTTCTGAAGCACCTGCAGGATTCCAGGTCAAACTGGCTGGTAGAGCAAGGCTTGGATAAAGGATTGCATGTTAACTCGAATGGAACCTTTATGCTGACCTTCCCACCCACTGAAAAAGGATCTGGAGGTAAACTTTGGTGAGTACGCTGGATGGAACAGTTGACCACGCTATCGTCAGGCGATGAGGTTGTTCTGGGTATAAAATGAACAGTATCCAACTACAGGTCTTGTCTAATCCAAAAATCCTTCTGGTTTCTGTCTCTCTATCTTTCTATTATCCTCCAGGACAAGCTACGATGCCGCCACGAGACAGCATTGGTTGTCCGTGTACCGACAAAAGTTCAATGCGAGGTTTTTGCTCAAGCAGTCCACATGCAAAATGACGGGCGCTCAAAAAATGCGGAATATTCAAAAGACGATTCAAGATCATCAAACCGTGGAAGACCAAATTCGTTTGGTGGTAGATCAAATGGTGCGACTGGTTCCTCCTCATATTATTGCTACCAAGGAAGAAAATCAAGCTACTACTGAAACAGCAACCACCAATGCTGACCAAGCATCCTGAACAGGATGAATGAATAAATGGCAGAGGAACACACAATAATACGCTGCTGAGGATGTAATAATTTGGATAAGTTTGGTTGGAATGTCATGAAAGCAAAATGTTGGTCATTCTGCTCACGATGATGGCGATGCAAATGTGGAAGATGTACATGGAACAATGTTGAAAATTATGGTGATGCCTAATGCAGGTTGCTTCTGCCTGAGGTTAGCTTTTCAGGTGTAATAGATTAACCACTGCTAGAATGCACTGATTCAAGCGTGAAGTTGGTCTTGATGTGTCATAATAGTTTCTTATTATCGTTTGGTACCCTGCAATACTGGGATCTTTGTCTGATCATAGGAATCTTCTAAGAGCTGCGAATGCTGGCCCGTTCGATTTTATTAATAGATTGAACCAGGCACTCCACTCATGTTGAATGCTACAGTACAAGGGAAGGAATCCTAAGAAGCACTTGACGGGTTGCTGAAGCTTTTTGACATGCAAAGAACGCGAACGACGATCGAAAATAAGGTTAGAGCTATCCGAGGCGAAGGATCTTTGTGAACGGATCTTCCATCCAAGCATGCGAATGTTGCTTTGCATTGACCTGCGAGCCCTTTCTTTCTCTTGGATTGCAATCTATTTTCAGCTGTCACCATGAACACCCCGTTGTCTTCTTCTTCGATGGATCCGTGGCAACATCGCCATTTCCAAAAAGAAAAACTCCGAGCGAGAGAACGGTATTGGCACTGGCACAAGCCTGTTTGCGGGCAGAAACAGGACCGATTGCTCATCATCCCGGATGGTCCAACATGGCGCAAATACCTCGCTCTGTTTCTCCATCTGGCCGAGCAGCAGCAGCAGCAGCAAAATGTTGGTAGCCAACAGAAGCTGCAACTGGTCCTGCTGGAATCTGCCGTGGAGTTGATGGATTGGAGAAATCTCAATCCCTGCGTCAAAGTGGACGATGACGATGGTTCCTTCATTCGAGAAGCGACGGCCATGCGAGAACGGACCAAAGTACTCCAATTCATGGAGCGACAAGAACAACAACAACAATCAGCTTTATTGGTCCGACCATTTTGTGACTTGTCGGTGAGAGAAGAATACGACGAATGGGATTTCCTGGGTTATTCTACCATGTCGGTGGTGGAACGCAGTCGTCACGCTTTGATTCGAGCTGCACGAATGCTACAAGAGGAAACCACACAGCCCGTCCTGTTGATTGTCCAGGACAGTCACGACAGGAGTCAGCTGGAAGAGCAGACTGCAAATGATGACGACACTCATGTCAAAATTGTCGATATACAAGGATTCTTGAATCACATACATGGAGCAGGCAATGTGGAGATTTCAAGTGACGAAGAACAAAGCCTGCTAGATTTGCGGATTCGATGCGAAGAAGAATATACCAGACGCAACAGGTCTGTCTCGTCAATAGCTACCAGTGCTGGAGGGAACGAAGCCCTGCACGAGTACTTGCCAAAAGAAGAATATGAACAGGGCCTTCGAAACGGGACACTGGTGCAGGGAAGATTGGATGTCACCAAGCAAAACCCAAAGGAAGCTTTTGTGACTGTAGGCGACAACAACAAACAATACTTTGTCAATCAGAGAAAGGACCATTTCAATCGAACCTTGAATGGGGACATGGTCGTCCTCGAGCCACTGCCAGAATCTGAATGGGGAAGACCCGTAGGCAGAAGGCGTTTGGTATTCAACGCGGACGGAAACGAAGATGACAGTGACAGTAATAATGCAGATGGAGGAGGCACACCCGTACCTTCTGCCAGAGTTGTGGCTATTGCAAAGCCATCTCCAAGATCTCAATATATTGCGACAATGGTGGACAAGCCACTCCAAGATGAAGGACACATCCTTCTAGTGCCGATGGATGTGAGGATTCCAAAGATACGAATTGCCACCAAGGCGTGGCAAAAATTCAGCAATCAACGGTTGCTGGTGCAGGTGGATGGATGGGAAATTGGCAGCAACTACCCTCATGGACGGTGTCTGGAAGTGCTGGGGCCTATTGGAGACTTGGAAGTGGAGATCAAGTGCCTCCTCATTGAAAATGAAATATTGCTCGAGCCATTCAGTGCTGCTGCTACCGCACGCCTGCCGCCGGCTGGACCGCAATGGAAAGTCCCCCCCGAAGAAATCCAAAAGAGGCGTGATCTGCGAACCAGCAGACGAATCTTCAGCGTGGATCCTCCCGGATGTCAAGATATTGATGACACAATGCACGCTCAAGTCCTACCCAACGGGGACGTTGAGGTCGGTGTTCATATTGCCGACGTCACCCACTTTGTTTCGCACAATTCGCCGCTTGATTTGGAAGCTCAGAAACGAGGAACCACATTCTACCTTGTCGACAGAAGGTTTGACATGTTGCCTTCACTGCTGAGCTCAGGTAAGTCGTCGCAATACCAATAGACTTCATCTTTTGTCTTTTGAGTCTTTTGACAATGTCACTCATTGATTTCCTGACACTGTTCCGCCTTGTCTTTGGGCTCCAACAGATCTGTGCTCTCTGCACGGCGAAGTTGACAGACTGGCGGTGTCTGTGATTTGGACGCTGTCCCCTGACATGGAAATTGTAAAAGATGTATGGTACGGCAGAACTGTCATTCACAACTGTCAAGGTAGGCTAATCTACAAATCGTTGCTAATTCGTATATGTGCATCGGCAGTATGCTAACCAAAAGCGCCTTCTCTCTCGCATCAATCAGCCATGACATATGATCAAGCCCACAATATTCTACACGACAAACCCCCGGATGAACCCGACAAACCTCTCCCGCCTCCCTTGACAGCTGGATATCCTGTTAGCATGTCACAGGTGCCCCAGCTCAAAAAAGATCTTACCATACTTCGAGACCTTGGGAGATTACTGAAAAGGCGACGAGAAGAAGTGGGGGGCGCTGTGGATCTTTCTAGTGGCGATCTGGGCGGGGAACTAAAATTCACTCTGGATAAGAATGGAAACCCCGTGGCAGTGAAACCGAAAAAAGAGCTGGAGATTCACAACACAATTGCGGAGATGATGATATACGCCAACGGCTATGTGGCGAGCAAGATATTTGATTCTTTCCCAGAGTCGGCACTCTTGCGAGTTCATAGATCCGTCGAACAGTCACGATTCGACAGTCTGAAGAGTGTACTGGATGTTGGCGGTGTTTCCTTGGAAGGAAGCAGCAACAGGGCCCTGGCAAACACACTGAAGAAGGTGGAGAAAGCAGGAGCAGTCGTCAATTCACTCATCAAGTCGCTCGCCACAAGAGCCATGTCTGAAGCTCAATACATCTGCACAGGACAGCAGAAAGATGGATTGAACCTTCTGCATTATGGGCTTGGGGTAGACAGATACACGCATTTTACCAGCCCTATCCGACGGTATGCAGATGTAGTGGTCCACAAACAGCTCCTTGCCGCCCTCGAAGAACCAGCGCAAGTTGCAGGGGGCGTCAAGACGTTCGCAGCAGCTGCAGAGCGAAAAGTCATGGAATCCGTTCCAGATTCCAAAGTCATTTCCATCATGGCCGGAGAGGGGCTCGACGATGGACCCGCCACGGAGGATGACAATGATAATGATGATGATGTGGACGATATGTTGGATTTCCTCATTGACGGAGCTGCCGAACTTGCTTTGGGTGAAGGGGCGCTGGGTGACCTCGGCGAGGACGACGCAGATGACCTGCTAGACTCTTTGGTCGAGGGAGCCGCGGATCTAGTCCTGGGAGGCGATGACAACGCAGAAACCACTCCAGAACCGGATGGAAAAGTGAAGGTGCTAGAGGCCGATATCCCCACGGATCATGCTGACAACGAAATTGATGAACAGAGGGCAAACGATGCCTCGGTGGAAACCTATGGCGGCTCGGAAGTCGCCAGAATTGCCGATAGCTTGAACCGTCAGAACAGGATGGCAAAGCACTCGTCGATGGAGTGTCAGAACTTGTTCCTGTCGCTGTATTTCCGCGAGCACGAGGAAACAGAGCAGGCAGTGGTGACTTCCATCCGAGAGAATGGCTTCTTCGTATATGTGCCAAAGTTTGACATCTCAGGCCCTGTGTATATTAGGGACGTCAGTGGCGACGTTCAAATTGATCCTTCTTTTGTCGGGCTATCTTCCGCTGCCGGACAAGAACCGACCATGGGCTTTGCTTCGTCGAACAGCACCTGTCGAAGATTCCCATCTGGGACATGCACATTGGTTGAGCCAGCCGATGGAAGCCCCGGGGAGGCTCGTTTGGAAGTTTCCGTGCCACAGGGCAAATGCAAATTTGTGGTGAAAACCGTGGATGTGGTGTCAATCAACCTCCGAAGCGACGACTGGGATGTGCGGAGCCGCGTCCCTCCTCCTCGTTTCCTGCTTGTGAGCAAAGGATCCAGACCGCCGCCTGGGTTTGGACAGACCCCAACTGCGGCGACAAAGATAACTTCTCAGGTTCTCCAAGAAGGCAAGCAAGAAGTGAACGTTGCTGGGCTAAAGAAAACAATTTCGAAGAAGAAAGTCTTTCCGTCTATGTTTGATGCATTGCGGGATCTTCACATACCACCCGTCCTCGAGAATGTTCCACTTCGTAGCACCACAGAACGTTCAGCCAAAAAGGAAAAGGGCACGGACTCCTACCTTCAAGAAGAGTTCAAAGGTCGAATGGTGTTTCGAGGGTTTGTCAACCCTGATACTCGTTCCGCAAGCCAAGAAGCCGCCATCACTGCAGCATCCCAAGCTGCGGCACAACGCCGTGCCAATGCAATGGAGACTCATGATCGCCGCAATGAGTATGATTCCGTCCGCAATATTGAACGCAATGTCATGGCTCGAACCCAACGTCTCGCCGCGGACAAACGAAACACTCGCAAAAGCAAGGGAAAGTGAACCAAATAGGCTACTAGCTAGTATGGCATACTGTAGTAGGATGGAGTATCATAGCATCATCGACACCCGAAACGGGACTTCTATTTTATCCATAAGAATATCCTAGATAGTCTAAAGGTTGGAGTGACGAGTCGAGGCCGGAAGATGTATTCTGCCGTGGGGCCGGAACTACTTGAACTAACTGAGGCCAAGTCCAATCAGTCTTGCAAGCATTCCGGTACCAGTAGTGACTCCATTTCCACCTCCATGCACTATCAAAGGTTTTGCTCGCTACGGGTTGAATAATTCCATTTGACATCCAGAATTGCCAAAGCGACGCAAACTGAAACCAGCAGATTGGCTACGTGTTAGTTTCAACAAGTTGTTGGATATACTATCCGATTAGCTCTCCCACTTTCTCCCGGGCCAAAGCCATCATTGGTTGAATTTGACTCATTAATTCACCCAAAAATTGATGCAAGCTGCTCAAAACCATCTTGACAATCCGTTCCACAAATGGCAACTTGATCAAGACTCGTTCCCACATGATGTAAAATACGACGCTAAAGAAAAAGAGGACCGATGCCATCAAGACCCGCTGCTCTTGTTGCTGCGCCTGTTTGAGGCTGTTCAGTGCATTGGCGGCACCACTCACATCCATGGATTGATATTCGTCCTTGGTCTCTTCTAACAGCTTTCCATCCTGATCAATTACGTCGACAACCTGTGACACTCGATCCAATTCGTTCTTGAGCAGATTTTGAGTGCGTTGCAGGGATTGTTGGATGCTCTGGGCTTCGGAAGCAGTCGAAGAAGAACCCGTCTTCTTTCGTCGATTGTTGCCGCTTGCTGAATCTTGAAACAACACCTTTCGATCTTCTCGTATTGTGGACGCACCACGAGAACGACCATGGTGTGTAGAGGGACTTTGATAGGATGCTGTCGCCATGGTCTTTCTTTTGCATCCCTCTCGCTTTTGAGAGAAAGATGCCGGAGTTGCGGGAATACCTGTTTTCATGTGTTTGACAATGTTCAATTCTTGCTTTTGGAAGAATGATGCAATCCGGAAGAATGACTCAAAATGGAAGAATGACTCAATGTGGAAGAATGACGCAATCTGGAAGACTCCACGTAAAATCGCGTAGACATTAGTACTGGTTGACGTAATCTGGAAGAAAGATGGAATCTGGAAGATTGCTGCAATTCGGTAGCATGACTCAAAGTGAAATATTGACATAAACCAGCAGTAGCCCCCAAAAGGAAGTATTGAAGTCAATAGCTATAAGGGTTTAACTGGAGGTTAGAAACAATTATGAGCTATTGTCTTTGGTGGCTGTCCCCGAACGGCGGTTAGCGTCGGTAAATGCCGTTAGGGGATCTGCTGGATCTACATCTAAGTAATGGTCCCGCGAGCCGGGCGGCCATGCTGGTTGGCTTCGTGGGACGTGCTTCTGGTGGATATAAGGGTCAATGTCGCAGTGGGACTGGGACTTTAACACACCCTCGCACAAGGAGTACGGAGTGTGGATGTTGATGTTGCTGGTGTGATTGGCTTGGGAAGGCATGGTGGAGCTGTGTGTGCTGTCTGGTTCATACAGGTAGGTTTGTCGCATCTTTTGGTGATGTTTGGCTGGGTGGTGTTTGGAAGGGTAGTCGGCTAGGTTAAGGGAGCCAGGTTGCCAGTAGACTGTGTACTGGTTTTGGTTGACTCTGTCTTGCAACCAGTAGAAACGCATGTCAATGGCCTTGGAGCGTTTTTGTTTGACGGTGTCATTGATGATGCCTTCGGCGACTTTGTTGTCGATGCGCATTGGGGTGGCTGGTTGGGAATGGCCGAGGAATTCTAATGTTGTCCGGAGGGGACAGCCTTCCTGGCCACATTCAAAAGCTGCCCCGGTTTCTGCTTCTGCTGCGGAGGAGACCACCATTTTGAGAATGGGGCTGATGACTAGGATGGGTCCGTTGTGGAGTGGTGGTTGTGGTGGTGCTGCTGCATCGCTGCAGTAGAAATATCCCGCTGCTCTGGATCGTGCGTTGGGTTCACTTAAGTAGGAAGCGTCGCTGTCGATTCGGAGTATCATGGGGCTGTGTTTGTAGCGGATGGTTGCATTGGGGTGCGTGGCTGCATAGTCGAGTAGTTTGTTGCAGGCTTTGAGAGTGTTGGTGGTTGGTGTTGCCTGGGCAGTGGCAATGGCACTGAGTGCGGTGAGCATGGTGTTGTCGATTGCCCGTGCGTAGAACAGGAGGACACCGAGGACTTGTTGGATGTGCTTTTTGTCTTTGCGATTGAGGGGAGCTGAGGTGTCGGTGTCAGCAGTCATTTGGGTTCCGTAGTGTAGCGGTTGTGCCGTGTAAGGGGAGTGTTCTGGTTTAGTGGGTGCTGGATGGTTGAAGCGTTGGAGGGCTTTGTCGATGTATCCGGGCATGGATAGGTCGCACGTGCGATTGGTGTAGTCCCACTTCATGTGGATGCCACTGTAGAGGGCACCGGTCCAGTCGGTGGTGATGGTGTATTGTTTGTTTGAGGGCGGCTTCGAGGTGCCTGGCATGTTCTGCGCCCACGTATTTGACGCCAAAGTCGTCCACAATAAGGACAAATGCAATGGGTCTGGTTTCGTGTTTGAAGAGGGCCGGAACGCGCTTGGACTGGTGGTACCATGTTTGGCTAGAGATGGGACGAGCCTGGTCGTTGGCAACGTCGTCCAGCTTGGGGGAGGCCGTACATGCCACCGTCGATGGCGACGTAGCAAAATCCTCGCTCATCTAGTAGGTTGTTTTCACGGAGTTTGTATTGCTGGATGATTTCCTCCGGGATCACAGAGACATGAATTTTCATGTACTCGGTGCGTGGTAGTGGGTTGCAGAGATAGTAGTCCTTGATGTCCATGGTCATGAACTTGGCATCGGGGGTACTTAGGACACTGTTGATGAGGAGTTTGGTGGTGGTCATGTCAGCGGGTTTTGGTGGTGGTTTCGAAGGGGTAGTCAATTTTGTCACCACCAACAGTGTGCCGGACGCGGTATGGGTCCTCTTTTTGGGGGCGGTAGGATACGACGATGCGCATGTACGTGGGTATGCGACCCGGGGAGGAGGTCGTGTTTGGGGATGAACTTCATGGTGTTGGTGCCTCTTGGTGTCTTTGTAGCCGATTGAGTAGGCGCCAAATTCTTTGCAGTTGCCTTGTTGCCATAAGTGGCCGTCGGAGCTTTTGGAGAGTTCCCCCCCCCCCGCCCCCCCCCCCCCCCGTATTCGGCAAGGAGGCCCGTGTCTGGGTTGAATGCTTTGTTGGCGAAGTGTTGGTGGGGATCTGGTTCGGGTTGCGGCAGATCCAGTCGGTAGTGTCGGGGGTGAGTGTATTGTCGTGTAGGAGTGCGTTTGCCGCTGGTTTGGACGGTGGATCAGGGGCTGGCACCCTCGGACGTTGTAGGGTGTGGTCGGTTGGACCGGTTAACTGTTGGAGGACGAGGCGTTGAAGTGGTAACGGTGGTTGTGTTGGATGGGTTGGTGGGCGCTGTTAGGATGGTGTTGAGGTCCGTGATAGCTGCTAGGATCTGCTGGGCGTGGGATGGTTCTGGTACGCGTAGGTGTTCTGGTGGGAACCATGTGACGGTGTCGGCGTGTCTGTAGGACTGGTCTCCCAAATGTAGATGTGGTAGCAGCGGTAGTGTTCCATGGATGGTCCAACGTACCAGCCGTCTTTGCCGTGGGGTGCCCAGCTGCGGCGGCTTGCCGGCTGCTTCGTGACAGAGGGCGCGAATGCCTAGTGGGGGATGGGGGTAGCGTTGAAGTCGTAGCGGCCGTGGAGGGCCTCGTAGGCAGATAGTTTTGGGTTGCGCGGCAGGGTCGTAGCATTGTTGAGTGTCATTTCTGCTTGGGGTAGGAGGTCGTCCCAAAGGTTCATGGGGAAGGAAGGATCGGTGGTGGCTAGGATGGAGATGAAGTGATTTTTGAAGGTGCGTATGGCGCGTTCGGCGGCATTGCGACGGTGTGTGCCGGGAGGAACACGCTGGAAGTCGACGTTGTTGCTGGCTAGGAAGGTTTTGAGGGCGGTGGAGCATTCATTGTCAAGTGTGTGGAGCTGTGGTTTGTGGCCGCGGACAATGAGCATGTCATGGATGGTTTTGTAAGCTTTCAGGAGGGATCCCTGTGTTCTGGATGGAATGGGCAGGACGTTGATGGTGTTAGAATCGTAGTCGTAGAGAACAAAAATGTACTGGTTTCCACGCTGAGTTGCCACGGGGAGCCGGCCGGTCTGGTCGCTATAGGTTTTACCATCGATAGTGTGCCACAGCGCCGCGAAGCACTGGTGCGTTGGTTGTGGGAGTGGTTCGAGGGGATCGTCATGGTCAGTGAATGGTGAATCGATGGGGGATGGAGAGGTTGGGGGAGAGTGGTTTGCTTTTTCGATGTTGAGGAATGGAGATTGTGACAATTTTGGTTGTGTCGATTTTTGGTTCTTTCGTGTTTGATCAAGGTGACCTTTTGCAGTTGCTACTGTGTTAGGAGTCCAACGCTTGAGTTCGCGTTCCTTGAGTACAAGTCGGGAAACCCCGTGCACAGTATCCTTTTTCAAGGGCGTTGAGGAGTGTTGTGGGATTTGGTGATCCGAGTGCAGCATGTGCAAAGCGACAAGTTGATTCCGAGTGTCGGTGCTGGTGCTGTTGGCGGTGTGTTTTGTCGGTTGGATTGATTCGTGGGGGCGTGCGGGGAAATATTCGGAGAGGGTTTCCTGTGTGTTTGTTGCTGGGATTGGAGGCTTTGTGTATTGAGTGGCGCATGCGTTTGGGGAAATTGGGGGCGATTCGGAAGTAGGTGCGGGTTGTGGGATTGGGCGTTGGGCAGTCGGAATGTGCCAAAGTCCATGTGTTTGCTCGTTCCGGACGCCTCTGAGTATGGTGGTGTCAGTGCTGTCGTTGATTCGAGATCGGATTTGGTGAAAGTTGCCGTGCAGTTTTGGTCACAAAGTTGGCCGATGGATATTAAGTTGCAATCGAAGCTGTCAAACAATTTTATTTCCTTTGCTGCTGCGGGGAGGCTGTCGACCATGGTAAGGTCTGCCGTTGTTGTGTTGGTTTCGGTCTGTTGGTTGGGCATTCGCACGTCGATTGGAGCGGGGTCGGGCCGTATGTTAGCCAGTGTGGTGTCTTTTGTGCTGCCATAGTGCTGGTCTGTGCCGGTATCGGCTATGTTTGGGATGAGGGGATCAATAGTGTGTTTTGTACTGCTGTTTACTGTTTACTTTTACGTTTACGTGCTATTGACTCCTCTCTTTTTCAGGTGCTGTTGTCTCCGGTGAGGGAGCTCATGTCCGTTTCGCCTGAGGTGGTGCCGGTGCCGGTTGTTGAGTCGTCATTGCTTTGTTGGCGTTGTTGCTTTTTCCGGTGGGCGGACGCTTGTTATTGTTGGGCTGGAACTTGTAGATGCTGGTCTCGCCTGGTTGGCGGCGGATCTGGTTGCGGCCGCCTATCATGTTGTCCATGGTGGCCTTTTCATTGTGGTCTTTGTGGCGGTTGCGGCATGTCAAGCTGGTGTGCGTGAGGTCGCGTTGGGCTCCATGGGTCCAGCAGTAGGCCATGTAGGCGGCGCCGGACGCATTGTAGATGTGGAATGGGTTGTTGGTGCCTTTTTGGTGTTGGCGTTGTTGGCTTGGTGCTGGTCGTGGTACCCAGCCTGCTTCGTGGTAAGTTTGCGGCGGCGCTCTCTGTTGGCTGCCGTGAAATGGGTTTTGAAGTTTTCCCATGTTTGCTCATCGTCTAGCTTTTCATTCCAGGATTCCATGGCACGGGGGAAGACTCCACTCTTTTCGAGGTTGTCAAGGCCGGAGCGGAGCGCGGCACGGTCTGTGATGGGGTCATGGCCGCGCGCGAAGGCGATGGCTTTGTTGATTTGGTCGAAGAGTTGTTCGAGTGGTTGGGTAGGTATCCACTTTGTGTCATATTCGTGCGTTTTGATGTTGTTGTTGAGGTCCTCATTGGTGAGTTGTCCATACTGTTCACGTAGGTGGACGATGAGGTCGATGTAGCGGAGTTGGGTGAAACCTTCGTCGGGGTCCTCCAGGGCGACATAGTATACTGGTTCTATGGCCGCCATGGCTGTTTTGATGAGGGCATGCTCGACGGCTTCGAATGTGTCGAACTCTTGTAGGGAGAACTGATGTTCATGGTCAGTCCAAGTTGGCTGCTGTTGCACCATCTGGAATGTTGGCTCTGGGCCTGGGTTGGATGGTCGATCCATTGGTTGGCTGCTGCCATGATGGGCCTGGCATTGTAGTCGGCTAGTGTGTAGCAGAGTCGGGGGTGGCCCTCTCTGCCGGGTGCTCTGGTGCTGCGAATGCGTCGGGCATTGTCTTTGTTTTTTTTTCGAGTTGCTTGATGGTAGCACGTGTTGGTACTCCGGTAATTGCCGTGAGTGTTGGGTGTGGGAAGAGTGGTAGTGGGTCGAATGGCTTGATGCTCATGGTGACGGTGTTTGGTGGGTTCGATGTAGATCGGAGCTGTTGATCAGCCAGTTCGGTGGATGATCGGGGTGAAGATTGCTTTCTAACTATTGAAGTCAATAGCTCTAAGGGTTTAACTGGAGGTTAGAACAATTATGAGCTATTGTCTTTGGTGGCTGTCCCCGAACGGCGGTTAGCGTCGGTAAATGCCGTTAGGGGATCTGCTGGATCTACATCTAAGTAATGGTCCCGCGAGCCGGGCGGCCATGCTGGTTGGCTTCGTGGGACGTGCTTCTGGTGGATATAAGGGTCAATGTCGCAGTGGGACTGGGACTTTAACAGGAAGTACTCCAAAAGTCCATTCCCCGCAACTCCGCCGAGCGAGGTTATTGTTTACGCCTTATCCCTAACGGTAAAATATCCGGATCGAAGGCGCGCCCAATGACCTCGCTCCCTGCCATGGTCTTCAGGTATATAATATGTAGATACATGCATGTATGCATAGAGTCCTGTGACATCACCTTTCCACAAGGTATCGGGGTTCTAGCCAGCTACATGTATGGTACCGGTGGAGAGAGCTGGATTATCCCTTTGGAGTTCCAAGGGTGTTTTATGGAGGAGACTAGGGAACTTATTTCTTGCAGCGTCGAGACTGACTCATGCCTCAGTAGCCCGTACATGTAATGTAGTAAAGGAAGAGCTAAGGGAGTGTCCTCAGCCTGGCCTCCTGGGTCCTGGAGCACTGAAAAGCTGAAAAGCTGAAAAGGGCACAGGTGGTGTCAAGAAATCAAGAAATAGACCACATACATGTACATGTATTTCGAGGCGCCGGGCGTCAAAGAAAAGGCCTGGTTGGGTTTCGGGGTGCCGGTGGAAATGATCGCGCTTGAGAAGAAAGAAGCAGACTTTTGGTAGTTTAACAATGCTGAACAAATGGGTGGGACCACACCAGCTCCCCGCGGGTGTACAGGGGGATGATTACATGCAAAATAGCACTGGATCCCCTCCTCCATCACCATCACTCGCCACCCCAGTGCATGTCTCTCTTTCCTTCCACAACCACAAGCTCACAATGAATCTACTTGCCCTTATTGATGTTGCCACTCGTGGCATTCTAAGGATCATCCTATCAGTCCTCTTCCTTTATATCCTATCTGTCAAGACAGAGTGGAGAGTCTTTCGAAATCGGCTCCATCGTAGTTCTCTGTATTCGCCGTCACACTGCCTTTCTCCTCCTCTGAAGGAGCCTCACTACTTGCCAAAATCCATCCACAGAAAAGTGAGAATGGATACCAGCACGCGGAACCCAGCCTTTCGCGTTGCCTTTAGCCGTGCCAAAGCAGAGTGTTTAGATGGAGATCACGTCTATATGGACAGGGCTCCATTCTGGCTGGTGAACATTCTTGTCATACCAGCAGTGATGGTTCAGGCTTGCTCCTGCATGATTTGGTGGTCCATTCGCCACTTCTTGCATCGAAACTGTTGGATATCCATTGTTCCACATGATCCTTCTATTACTGCAGCCAGGATTGTGATGGACTCCTCAATGGTTCTCAATTTTTCTCACATGGAAACACATCCAGACAGCCCCAATCTCAAGCTGGCAACGTTTGTCTTCCCTGATATGATGCTCATCAATCACCATTCCAAATGGACTATGACATTGAGGCTTCAACTTGTGTTGGACAAGATTGGCGGGAATCCCCCTCAAATCTACCAGGCATGGCTTGATGACAGCCCCGTCACTCACAGTCAAGTGTGTACTCTTTTGTCATTTGCTATTGTCACCTGCCACATTCGTCTTCATGCCTATGCCAACTGGGCTGTGAATATGGAATCATCTTCTGGTATGGGATTCTGGGATACCTTGGACAGTGCCATTACAATAATGTACAATCATCTTGGCTATGGCCAGACTCACCGGTACTTTTGGCTGTACAAATGGCTGGGTGTTATGGCACGGGAACAAGACCCACTTCTATTCCAACAGGCTTTGGATCACAATTGTGCCATGGGAGTACCTCACCATCACAATGTGAAAGAACTTGCACCATATGGCCGCGTCATCAAGTTTATAGTGAAGCTGCGCCCCATCTTCTTGAAGAACTTTGTTTACTACCAGCGCAATTCCAATATGTTTCCCGGCATTGATGGAGAAGCCCTCTTTGTACGCACCTTCATACATTCATTGGACCACACTTTCTTTGAGCAGATTATTGGTGACGTGTTGTGGTTGGACAGCAATGACACTGAGTTTGGAGCCATGGCGGATATGGCCAAGTTTGCCCGTTGCTGCTACATGGAGGACCTGCATTTGCTTCCTTTCTCTCCCAAGATGAAGGATCGAAAGAGCAATCCTTTCTATCACAGCGTCTACAATGCCGCCCACAAGGTTGATCCAGAGCTGGCTGATTACATTGACACCACCATTGTAAAATAAATAGCCCAACCACAGGTGGATTAGGATGATGCACAGGGATACGGTATCACATCATTCTACAATGGGGCACCAGTAGCCAAGTAGTCGACAGCAGTCACAAGTACAAATTGAAACAGCAGTTGTGTCCTTGGGATGCAAGCAAGGACATAAAGCGGCCGCCTGGGTATTCTGCGATGCGCCCTCTAGTAGAGAAGGGCGATTCAAGTATAACTTCCAACCACCTGACGTATTGTTTCTATGCCACTTTCCGCATGGAAGGATGGGGAGCAGCAATATTCAGCACTCAGCAAAACCAAATACGAAAGAAGGGAAATAGCTTTGAGCATCCATTCCGTCATCACTCTATTAGCTGGATTGGTTCCAAACGCCCCTCCAACCCCACCGCGAAAACACAGAAGCTGAACTGTCCCATGTCCCTGTCTCCTTTCTTGGGAACGAGCCACCTGCCCTTTGCCGGAGCGGTCAACAAACATATGAAAAGTAGCTGTACGCACGGGTGGGTTAAAGACCGATCCAAGTCTGTACCGTAGACCAAATGTCACGTCTAAGGTGGAATCGAATTAGCTACTTGTAGCGAGGACTGGACCGTCATGCGAATAGAGCAAAGAGTGACTGACTCATGTGGTTGCTTGTCCTAATGTATGGGAATGGTGGTTGTGGTCGAGGGCTGAAACCGGCGGAAGGTCATTGTTGGGATCGTGAGGCTTTGCAGGCCGGGTGAGGTGTTTCGAAGTTGAGGCTGCACATGAATAAGTGCTCCTAAAAACCAGCCCAGTAGTCGTCATTGCCTGCAACCGCTTGAGATGCGGATGCGGCATGGTTCTTGGCCTCCTGGATCAGCTTTGCTTCAATGCTATCCACAGCAAACTGTTGGCGGATCTTCTCGGCCTCGAGGATCTCCTGGATCATGCCTTCCTTGTCTTGTGCCCGAAGCACCACGTCATCTTCCTTCTGGTCCTCGTTGGAAGTGCTCCAATTCCAGTAGGAATCGTTCTGGGGAACCAACTCTTCGGGTGTCACACCCTTTTGCTGCAGCTTGGAAGCCTCCTTGACAATGGTCTGCTCAATATGCTCCGCTGTAAACAGCTGTCGCACTCGTTCTTCCTCGAGGATCCGCTGCACCAACGCGTCCTTCTCTTCCTGTTGGCCTAGTGTCTTCCATTCCCAGTAGGCCGCATCTCTGTGCTTCGAGCGGACAGTGAAGGCCGCATCCAAGTCTGAAACTTGCGGCTGTTCCTCGGCCCAATAATCATCGGCATCATTGGCTTGGTGGTGGACCGCGCCGTCTGTCTTGGTTTCTTCCCGCGGCAGGTTGGACTGGATGATATGGTCCGCTGAGAACTGTTGACGAAGGTGTTCCTCTGTCAGGATGCGATCGATGATTGCCTTCTTGATGGGATCATCATGCTGAAAGGAGGGTGCGGTGGCGGAAGCGATGATTGGAGCCTCGCGGCCTTCGTGCTGTTGCTGGACTTGAACTTGAGCTGCGGACACGGAGGTCGCAGCAGTCAAGGGCTGAAACTTGGAAGTCTCCACAAACTGCGACACGTTCAGTGTCGCGAGTGTGTCTACGCCGCTTACTTGCTTTCGATTCGGAGGCATGCTGTCCTATTGGCTTGTTGATACGGTGCGGTGCGGGTCTCTTGTGGTGAAGGTCACTGGGGGTGGCTACTATTTAGCTAGTAGTACTAAACGAAACTGCAATCTTGTGGTTTTCGGCTTCTACTTGGCCTTGGTTGTGTGTTGTGCGGGTTCAGATGGTGAAAACATGCGTCTGTTGAGCCAATGAGATTCGGGTCCTGGCCTTCTCCAGTTCTCATAACACGAGCAATTGTTGATGGGGTCCTTCTCTGCTCTGGCTTCCGGGGTTGACACGGTTGACACCAGGCTTTCAGCAAAAATGTGAGTGGCCAAGAGCAGAAGAGAAGATAATTCATTAATTGTTATGGAACAAATGCACCTGTTTTGGTATTTAGGTGCATTGCATTTGCATGAACAAAATGGTTTAAGAGGAAACTGCAGCAGACATAAATTGAAGTTTGAAGTCACAGCAGTGCTCAAGCTATGGTATCTATCAACAAAACATTAGTGAATATTTTACTCCCTCTCCCTATTTTAATACAGGTACAACCTCCTGCACTTGACCAAGTGCACTCCAAGTGCTCATGAATTGACAGCACTTTCGTAAAGAGGCCCTTGTTGGAGATTCATCTGTTTTCCACGTCACGAGCCCACGATCTCAAACAGAGACCGTGTATTTTTTGGACGGGGCACAAGACGAGTCCAACAATGCTGCAACGGCACATGGAACGTCTCCCGGTCGCCACTCGCCACCATTGAACGAGACATACGCAGTTATTACTATTGGACAACACCACGACCACGACGTCCCCCCAATATCGAGCCTACCAATGGCTCGAAAAGGATCCGCAGTTCCTTGTCGCACCGAAGACGCTGTATCGATTGGTGGTTTGCCATGGCCACCGTCTACTTTTCCACAAACCTAGCTAGGTGCCAACAACACTACAAACTGCTGAGTACTGCTGGGACACGACAAAAATGGCGAGCGGCATCCAAAGAAAGCTCCCCACCGACAAGAGCTGGCAACGGTCGATCGGCAGTTGCTGCGCCTATGTTTTCGTAGTCGGCAATGGATTTTTCTCGTGTTGGGTAATAGACTAGTGCTTGTTTTTACTATTTCCTTGAATTGTTTCCCTGTCGGACCTGTCATCCG